GGTTCGAGCGACCAATTTGATCAGGCACGGAAAAGAGTGGCAAATCGGTCGACAAAGAAGCCCTAAGGCAGCTTATACACTTGAAATTAGGTATAGTCAAATTTATTCCCAGATCTTATCTGATACATCTAAGTGCTGTATAGGAATTTAGACTGTGCAATGTTTACTAATCGCTTATCGTGAAAGTACGTGTAAAATCTTTGTTAGTGGTAACCTAATAACATATTAATTTAGAGAAATAACAACGTAGAAGGGTAAGGCTTGTGAGCTACTATCTTATGTACCTACTATCCTAGACTACTGACATCAAATTACTTATTATTTGCCGGAATAAAGCTTTTGTTCGGCATTTTGGCTATTGGGGGCCCAGCGTAGTGTTGCACTGAAAACTTTTTACTATTTATCGCCATATAACGAATTCTAAAATTGGTATTTCTGATCGCACTGTGGATAACAAAGCTTTGTCACCGGTCTTTATCCTTATTGTTGCTCTTAAAAGATTATCAACTACATTGGTCAAACTCACTAACTATGGAAATGAACTGGAAACTTGAGAATATCGTCATGAATAAAAACGCTAAGCACTTTAGTGTGGCGCTGTACAATGTGCAAACTCCTTGAAGTAATTTCTGATGTGGTAGTTGCTACGTTTACCGCCTCATCGTGGCTGGGAGGTGTTCCTGGATGTCGGACTGCGATGTACAGCGGTGGATTCCTTTCTGCGGGGTCTACCAAGCTGAGAAGGATTCCGGCATTTACATTTGGAAGCCTAGCTAAGAGTAAATCAGTGACAGGATCCACCACCGACGTGGTATCAAAGTCGCATGATGGTAAATCTCCCTCTGATCCATAAGGGCTGGACTGCCTGTGGTGGTGAAGACCTAGAGCAGATTTTGGTCAGGCTGATCTCGGAATTCCAGGGAATCACAATGACTTAGCCTACAAATCACCGAAAAATGGGGATTGTGCTGGGGTCCGTACAACCAATGACGGCCCATTCAAGTGTCAAGTAAGGTGCTACGTCAGAAACATGGTAGTAGGTAGGAAAGAGGCATTTTGTCATCCAGATGGAAGTGCTAACTTATTTTAAGATCCGAAGATGTACGATATAGATCGAGGGTGTAGTCGAGAATAGACAATGTAATCTTTTTCATGTTCTGTGTTCTTTATAACCTTTGCGGTAATGCGTTGAGATTGCTGTTATTAATTGGTGCTGGGGAAAGGTACCTACTACCGTGGTATTATTTGTGGAGAACTGCTTTTCGAAGAAGCTTTGTTTTTTAGCGGCTGGACAGGTTGTTTGGGCTTTTTTCACAAATCATTACATGCTTTATACTTAAAAACTCGTTCGCGCCAGCTCCTAGGTAGGTTGGTCAATCTATCCGCATAACGGGTGGGACTGCTACCTCTGCACTGCGCGCTTCATGTTTTTACTTTGCTTTAGAATTTGGAACTGAAGTGCAACGGATAAAATTGAAACAGATAAACTTTCATATGCAGGGAGGGCAGCCACATACATTGATGGTGCAATCGAGAAGACCTTGTCGTGCTGTACGGAGTTCCACTTGTTCGACGTTGCGCAAATTCAGAGACGAGCTTCGAAGAAAACAAGGCAGAAGATGTTTGTGCACATCGAAAATTCTGTTGTATAGTTTGTACCTTATTAGCAAAGACCAATAGGTGCTAGTAGTTTTTGTCTGAATTCGTCAAGCTCGCTTTCGATACAAAATACGTGCGTCAAAAAGTTGAAAAGCTGAGCTATTTTCGATCACTTGTGAGCTGAAGTCGGCTCATATCGTCCATTATCTTTAAACCTTATGGCTTTGCAGTGGCAATAGCCTTTGGACTTGAGGTCTTGGAAGAGATGACTCCCCTATCTTGTGTCAAAATCTAGCCGATGGATATGTACAATGTGAGGACCAGTCTTAAAAATAAGGCAAAATTCCCAGTCTTCTACGGAGCAATAAAGCACTCATCGTTTTTAATACAAGGATAAAGCTCTCGGCATTGATCAATCCTTTAAGGGTGCGCCATGAATTCGGCTTAAGCAAGCAGCGTTAGAGGTGATTAAATGCATATCTAACCTATACAATACAATCGCGGTGAACTGCCGTTGTATCAAATCAGTACTTTTGATTTCTTAGACAAGTTTAGTATCAATTTGCCGGCACCATAGAATTGGAAGGCTTTGTGACCCAGGGGCACGGGGCCGATCCCACATGTATTGCAGGACGTCTCTAAGCACTGCACTACACGTGCACTTTTCCTTGTTAGGGAGGTACTCCATTGTGATGAATGAGAAATTCCGACGACATGCTACTTCGCCTGTCGTGCTCAGTATGTCGTATGATTGAAAATCAGCAGTGTCACCATCTAGTGTTCCTGAAGATCTGTACCTGATGAATTGATATTAAATGCGTTTCACAAAGATTTGTATACCGCAGTGCAAAAGACTGCAGTAGGGAACAAGTTCGTTTACCCTTGTGAACTGTGGTTGAAGTGCTAACGAAAGGTTAACATGCTTTCGGATTCCTTTTTTTTGTTTCTGTTTTACCCTTATTTGATTACCGTATGAGTGGCTTATTTAAGGGCGCGTGTGGCGCAGTGGTCGGAGGCGCCCTGCAACACACATGGAATCGATCCCCGCGCCCATGGCTCACCAAGCCTTCCATCCCTACGGGAACGGCGAACTGGTACCAGACTTGTCTGGAAGGATAGCAGCGTTGGATCGACACATCGGTAGGCCACTTCGAATCATTGTAAGGGCCAGATATGCATTCAGTCACCTGCAAACGATGCTTAATGGAGTCGAATGCATGGTGCATCCCTAAGGGATTGATCAACGGCGAGAGCTTTATCCTCTATTTGTCCTTCTATGACTGGTTTAACTCCTTAAAAAGGTATACAGAAGGAAAACGGTTCTGATGAGGATGAAGTATTGTAAGGAAAAGTTAGCCGTTGAGAACCAGAGAATATTTTCACAAAATCATGTCACGTCATCCAAGACAGTTCGTACGAAAACAACTTGGTTTAAATACTATTGCAACCAGACCCTCAAATTTACAATATGGTACACTGTCAAGAGGTGGATAATTAACAAAGAGTAAGGAATCGGTAAATTTGGCTCTGGAAATAATGGGGGACACCTCATAAGATGGCAACAGGAATTCCAATATATCCATTCAAATACGGGTGTCTCTGACATGATGTTTTGTCTGAAGGATCTCTATATACCCAAAGAAACGTCATTTTTGCCAAGTAGAGGTTTTAATTGTGTTCTAAGTACCATTGAAGGACATTGAAATTTTTTATGAATTGAAACAAAAGGTGTGGTTCTATTGCGTAGCCCATTAACCGACTGTTCGTTGACACCCACTCTCATCGAAAATCGAATCTCATGATTTCTGGCAGTACATGCAGAGAATTTGAAAACATGCCATATCATGACATGCTGGCTGAAGAACTCTCTGCAAAAGTTTCTCTAACCGAAGTTAGTTCTGCGTTGTGTAAGTTCGACTACGGCATAGTTTGAGAGCGAATAAAAACGCGAGCACGAGATCAAACAACGACTCCAGAAATTTCCTCTTAGCTAGTATACGTGAGAAATTTTCTAGCACTCATGATTTCACATCGGACCGTAGATGCCACTTCTTCAGATATGTGCTAAAATGAGTAGTTCTTACAATTCAGTATATTTCTAATCTGTAATGACGTCAATAACCGAATGACTGGAGCCAACCAACATGAGTGCTATCCCTCTATTCGCCAGAACTATCCTATGGCTTTCGCTCACAAGTGGGACGTCGACTGTGTCATATTTTTCATAAGAGGTTCTTGATATCTACTGTTTCTTATGAGGAAATTCCTAAGGTTCTGTCATGAGCACATTTTGTCAGGCTGTGCCTATGTAACGGATAGCGCATAGTTGTTCCAGTGGACCGCGACCGTCTCGTACTTTCATCTCGGTAACATTACCTCAGAATTTTGGCCCAATTAACGTGTCATGTTTGTGTGAAGCTCCTGCAGCGCAGTGGTTATAGAACCTCTGCAATACACACAGAATCGGAAGGCGGTTCGTTTTCGTGTCCGGGTTTATTAAGCCCTCGATCTCTTCAGGTTAAGCAAATTGCTACCAGCCTTGTCTGGGATGATATAAACACTAGTTTGATAGAGTGGTGGAAAACTGTAAGTTACCGTGTAGGGTAGATATGAATTCAATCACCTATACAGTGCTTATTACAATGCTTAGCGGAGTTGAATCCGTATTACGTCCTCTAAGGGATTAATCAACTTCCAGCGCTTCATGGTTTACCAATTTTCGTACCCGTAAAAACACCCATACACTCATAAATGTCTTAAGGTAGATGGAAAGTATGTCATTTTGGCACAGCACATATAGGGTGTTTCAACCTTGAACGGACTTGCACGACAGGAAAAGAAGGTGATTACTGGTTACCCCTATCAAACCCAATGACTTGCTACATACCCTGATGAATACGTGGTTTGAAACCTGATAGAGCGGGCAGCGGGGTTTCTGTTTTAGTGGAAAAAAATGAGTGAATGATCGATCATAATCAGTAACGGATTTTATTTAGTGGTCATGAAATATCTATAATTGGGAACCAATAAAACGTTAATCGTTCATGTCACTTCTGAATGGGATGGGGCGAGGGAGTATTCTATTCAATAGTACCAACATTCCAATTCAGGCTTTTGTTTAAAAGCAAATCATTATTTAAAACATTTATATAACTAATTCCATAACTAGAAGAAATCCTTCCGAGGAGACACTACTCAGAGATTTATAAGTCTACCCACAAAACTCCGGTAACTATAGAAGGGATTATCTTCTCTCACCGTATAGAAGCATGCAGTTTAGAGCTCTTAATAAGCCAATTAGTTTGGGACCGACATAGCTAAGACACCACACCATAGTGACTTTATGATAGCATATGTTGATGTAAGAAACGTCTAAATAACAAGTGATAATGCGATAACTGATGTGGCTATATAAAGGATCAAGAAGTATTCAACTAGCATTTACTCCCTCTACATCTCTAATGGCGGTTCCGAAAGATATTGTCAAGAAAATCGAGGACGGATTCGCAAAGCTTCAAGAGGCAGCTGACTGTAAGTCCCTACTAAAGAAACACCTCACCAAGGCTGTTGTTGATAAGCTGAAGGTATGCTCGAACGAAATTTTGGCAATTCGTTCATTCATAAATCATGACACTATTTCAGACCAAGAAAACCCGACTGGGTGCAACTCTCCTCGACGTCATCCAATCTGGCGTTGAAAATCTCGATTCTGGTGTTGGATTGTATGCACCTGATGCAGAATCCTACACAGTCTTTGCTGACCTATTCAACCCTGTCATTGAGGAATATCATAATGGTTTCAAGGCCACCGATAACCAACCTCCTATGGATCTAGGAGAAAAGAACGCAAGTTATACGCCCGATTTTCCTTAGCTTCTTTCTATCTCACTGGATGTATAGTTAGAACTTGAAGCACCTATTTTGCATATAGCTATTTGGTGGATTATCTATAGTAGGTTATTCGGACTAATCTTTGTCATTCTGAAGATTATTCGATAGTTGTGTAGTGATCTAAATCTAAACTCGGACTGTATTGGATAGACGATATTTTAAAAAAGTGTTTAAAAGTTTAAAAAAATACTCAGCTGATGTATACATCAGCGTTAATTTATCTCCCAGTGTATATAACATAGTTTTTCAGCTAGCTGAACTCACAGACCTCGATCCAGAGAATAAATTCATCGTGTCTACACGAATTAGGTGTGGACGATCTCTTGTTGGATATCCTTTTAATCCATGTCTCACTGAGGTCAGATCGTTTCATTGGCGATGAAGGCACATAGTTAACGTTTTTATTCTGTAGCTGAACTACAAAAACATGGAAAAGAAAATGCAGGACATCCTCAATGGAATCACTGATGAAGAGCTGAAAGTAAGGCTACAAATATAGCTTGATAACAATATATGAGGTTTAGTTCCGACAGCACAAGGCGTGCTGACTGTGCAAAAAGATACCAACTGATTTTGCACTCCTATCGATGAAAACACAAAACACTGGTTTTATGTCTCTTATGAATATATGCTCCTTTATAACCTACAAACAAATTTTCCTCCAAGCTTATGAGAGAGAGATACGACAGCAAGCGTAGATATTTAATAATAGAGATGGAAAATCCACATTATGGACCAGCATACCATAGTATTTTTTAGGGTAAATACTACGCTCTCACCGGAATGGACGAGGAAACGAAGAAAACACTGATCGCTGACCATTTCTTGTTCAAGGAAGGTGATCGCTTCCTTCAAGCTGCAAATGCTAACCGGTCGGTTTTTAATTGTAGTGAGTAATAAAAGCTCCTTTATTGTGAATGATAGTGATAATAAAAGGATAAAGGATAAAGCTCTCGACGTTGAATAATCCCTGAGAGATGCGCCATGCATTCGGCTTCATTAAGCATCGTTTGGAAGTGACTGAATGCATATCTGGCCTTTACAATGACTCGCGGTGGCCTACTGATGCATCTAGCCAATGCTGCTACCCTCATAGACAAGTCTGGTACCAAATTGCCTAACCCGCAGGGATGGAACACTTGGTGGGCCATGGACGCGGGGATCGATTCCACGTGTGCGTTGCAGGGCGCCTCTAACCGTTGCGCCACAGGCGCCGCGTGATAGTGATATGTAGTGAAATTCCTACGTGCGGTAAACTACGCCTTTAACAAATCCGACTCGCATGAATTCAGCTCAGAAAAAGACAAGGACGTCGAAAATTTAGTCGAGTAAAAGTTGTGCTACGACCTTGTGTAAGCTGAAGAATCCAGACAAATACATGCATATAATATATGTGTATATGTAATATATATATATAATATAACAATTTTTGATAATATTTCATTTCTTCTACGTCGTCCACGTTGTTGTAGTTTCTGGCCAACTGGACGTGGTATCTTCCACAATGAGAAGAAAACATTCCTCGTGTGGATAAATGAAGAAGATCACCTAAGGATCATATCAATGCAACCTGGTGGAGATGTTGGGGCTGTAGGTTATTTCAAGTGTTTAAATGAAAAGAAACACATGTAAATTAAGGGAAGAGGAAGTTGATAGGGCCAAACTTTCTACACAAGTGGTCGTAGTAGACCTGCTCGAGTGGTTGGCTACGTATTAGCTTGTTTAGAAATAAATGAGCGTTTTAAAATATTGTTTCAGTGGGTTTTTACCAATGAAATACCCTTTGTTTTTCTAACTGTTCTCATATTCTATCAAATTAGATGTCGGAAACGAATTTTCGTCGGATTGTCTTTTATGAGTTCAAACTCGATCGTAGTGCAGCAGAGACGGCTCGAAACATTAATGAAGTTTGGGGTGAAGGCAACGTTGGTGAATCGATAATGCGAACACGGTTTCGGAAATTCCGATCTGGTGAATTCGATCTAGATGGTGAGGAAACCTATGGATGTCCCGGTGAACTTGCCGACGAAAAAGTGAAGGCACTAGTGGAGGTAAATACGCGAACAACTGTTCGAGAGCTTGCAGAACAACTTGGCATATGCACACGAACAATTCCCACTCACTTGATTAGCATAGGAAAGGCTAAGAAACTCGACAAGTGGGTGCCGCACGAATTAAACGGGAATCAAAAAACTTACCGCTTTGAAGTGTCGTCTGCTCTTATTCTGCGCAACAGAAACGACCTTTTTCTTGATCGAATTGTGACGTGCTACGAGAAGTGGATTTTGTACGACAACCGGCGACTTTCAGCTCAATAACTGGATTGCAATCAGGCTCTACAGCACTCGCCAAAGCCGAAAGTGCACCAAAAAAGGCTATGGTGACTGTTTGGTGGTCTGCAGCCGGGCTGATTCGCAACAGCTTTTTGAATCCGGACAAAGCGATTACGGCAGACAAATATGACAACAAAACGAGAAGCACCGTAAATTCCAACAACGACAGGCATTAGTCAACAAAAAAGACCACTCCTCCATGACAACGCCTGGCCTCACGTTGCTAAACCAGCGCTGCATAATTTGAATAAGCTGGGCTACAAAAGTTTTCCTCATCCGCCACATTCACCAGACCTCTCGCCTATCGACTCTCACTTCTTCAAGTACCTTGACGACTTCCTACGCGAGAAATGCTTCGCCAACCAGGATGACGCAAAAAATGCGCTCAACGAATTCATCGCTTCCAGAACTCCACAACTGTATACAACTGTAATAAATAAGCTTGTTTCCTGCTGGAAAATTGTGTAAAATGAAGTATTTTTACTTCGACTGACAATGTTTTGTCTGAAGCAAATGACAACATTTTAAATAATAAAGTTTGAAACACTCATCTATTTCTGAACCACCTAATATATCGCCTCTTCCATTGTCCATGTTGGAACCAATGTTTTCAATCTGTTTTAGCAAAACTAGCATTCAAAAGTTCACACCGAACAAACTGAATAACATTTATCCCCTTACATAGTCCTGGGAGGGTGCAATCCACGGCAATTGGTTGGTGTGCATTTTTGTGCGCAATCGACAATACACAATGACGTCAACGCAGTCCACAAATCCTGAGAAACTAGACTCCTGACTGGGAGTACAAAGCTTACTCACTCCATATTTTTGTTTCATGGCAATCATTTCAATTTCGAGAATAAAAAGAAAGTTTAGGTGCTTGGTCGTCTCATCAAAGGTCTTAACTACATTTCGTCAAAGGCACCATTCGCTCGCCACCCCCGTCTTGGCTGGCTCACTTTCTGCCCTACCAATTTAGGTGAGAAATTTCACATTTTTGATGACAGGTGATTGCTCCTCACCGAAACACGTTTTTTAGGAACCACAGTGCGCGCCTCGGTGCATATAAAACTGCCGAAGATTTCTGCAAAACCAGAATTCCAGCAGATCTGTAGTGACATGAAACTCCAGGTGGTTGTCTGTGTCTTTGTTTAAAAAACTCTTTATGATTGTACTATTTAAGATTCGTGGCATTCACGGTGAGCATTCGGAATCAGCAGAAGGAATTTACGATGTCTCTAACAAACAACGACTTGGTCTAACCGAATATATGGCCGTCCGTCAGATGTACGATGGAGTGAAAAAGCTGATTGAGTTAGAGAAGGCTGAGGGTTGAATAAACGTGAGCAACCAACGAATGTGTAAATAGAAGTCAACAGTAACGAAAGTGAGATATCTGCATAGACAATGAAGTGGGCCTCACAATCAATGGGCTTAAAGAAAAGGATGACACATTGACACGAAAATCCTTCGCCCTTACTGCTACAGTATGCCAGTGATATCGACACCTCCTGCGCATTTGACAGCAACCACTCAAGAAAAGTCCTAGAATGAAAATGAACGAGAAACTTGTTATGACGTGAGGAAATAAGAGGTTGTTATTCCAATTCTTTAATCAAGATAGCCGATGTTTCGGTGGATTTCGTCCTTTCATAGCCTGGAAAGGCCCAGTTGGTTGCAAACTAGCTAGCTAAATAGTTTTGTTACTTCAACAGAAAACATGACACTTAAATTCCAACTGGACTAGAAACAATTTCCTCAGGTAATCACAGCCTCCTATGAGTCTTCCACTTTATTACTGCAGACCAACGGTCGGCGAGCGAACCGAACGGTCCTCAGTAAATCATACGTTCTTCCCTTTAGCGTGCAAGAGTACTCAGCGGCTTCTGCTCGCTGTAGGAACTCGTTGAGCATCACACCTTTCTTCTGGAGTTTTCGCGAATAACTCTTACCATCGGCTCGGTGGCCTTTCTGTAGTACTTTTGACATCTCAAGAAATCTGGTCTCTTACGACTTCTGCCCATCGGTGGTCGTTAATATGTATTATGCGCCCGACCCACCTTCCATTGTTTGCCGTACAGAACGGTATCCTTGATTTTTGATCGTAGGCGCAGGTCGGAATTTCTATCCATTCTATCACTTTTGTGAGCAGGATACTCCTAGCATAGTACTTTTGACTTCGTTTTTAATAACGCTGGGTTTTCGACGCTGCGTTAAGACAGAGGAAGAATCGTGGAATCAAACAGGTGAGCATAGAGTCGCATGTTTTTTCTTCTCCTCAGTATATCCTTGACAGTCTTGAAAGGTTTCCAAGCCGGTCGCTCCCTCCTCTTCAACTCTGTTGATAAACCGTTCATCATGTTGATTTCTCCAGGTAGATGAGTAGATAGGTAAGTAGAGCATTGAACCCAGTTAAGTTGTAGTTGAAATCAAAATGCCTACTTTTTGTTTGCTGCCTACTTAATGAATGCGTTAGCCCCCCGAAAAGGTAATAGGGCGTTTGTACCCTGCCACAGACACCTGCGGTCCGGAGTTTCGCAAATATCTCAGCATCATTTAAGCTTTAGAATAGTTTAAATTCACGCACTGTGAATACCTTGCGTGAATTTCTTATGTGCGCAACATTCGAAGTCGGAAAGAAAAATACGTATTAACAAATGCGTGTCCAAGTTGGTTGAGAAACGCCCATGTAACATTGAGAACCATTCTGTTTACACTCATATCAACGTTTTCTAGCTTACTTGGCTTCTAGTTTAGAATAGTTTGTTAGAATAGCTTCAAGCTTCTAGCTTCTACCGTTTGCTAGCATAGGACTGGTTCTAGATATGTAACGCCTAAGCAGAGCAGTTTCAAGATCTTCGTATTCACGTTCTCCAACAAACCAGTAACGAACCGATAGTGCATCTGTAGCAAATTAGAGTTTGACATATTGGCTCAGCGGTGGCGTGGGCGTCGGATGCTCGGGATTCCCTGCGAAAATGGGACTGGGTTTGGATTAGCGGGGACTTCGTCCACGGGTGCCACAGGGAGGCCGTCCGAGGATTTGGGTTTCTCCTCGGTCATATATTGGATGCGTCGTTAACGAGTAATAAAAGAACGATCTCGGAACGACTCACTGAATATGTCCCAATTTCCCCATAAATCTAAGCCATTATGGCGTTCGAAATTTATTGTACCAGCACTTGGATCTTGTCAGATAATACCGCCGCGGTAATTTACAGAAGTACGCAAATCTACAGAGTTACGGAGTCGGGAAAGGACGTCTGCAATTACACCACCAGTTATCACCACACATAAACGTTAGGATGAGATCATCTATATAATATCATGCACTATACATAAAATACCGACTTTCTATCACAGCGATTTGCATAGTAAAAGAAAAATCTGCAAAAAGAAGTAAGGTACAAAATCTCCGCAAAGACTCATTGGAGGAAGACGAATCACAAGAATGAACGTCAGACTGGCAGTCCGATAGTTCCCAAGATCGGCTTTCTATTAGCCTCGACATTGGATTATAAATATCTCATTTTCTGTTCCAGCAATCGCGAGGTTGTTATTCAGCATTAGTGACAGCGCTTCCTTCACGTTCCCTTCACGTATCAGTGTACCCTTCCAGGCTCTGAAGAAGGCGATACCGTCAAAGCGTCAGCTACCGTTATGTTGTATGTGTTATTTTTGTAAGGAAGTAAACGTGTGCTGAATAACAACCTCGCGATTTCTGAGAAAGAAAACGAGATATTGATAATCCGATAGTTGTGACGGCTAAAATATTTTCAAAAACAATCGATTTCAATTGATTAAACCTTGTCAGTGAGCAGTCACTACGTGTGAACACTGCTTGCTGAATTCACTCTTCAATGTGTAGCAGCCTCGAAGAGCGATGGCGCGCAAGTACATCTGGAATCATCTTCAGCCGATTGCCATGCAGAGTGCTCTTCCTCTCTATTGCTGGCACCTACTGCAAAACGCCGTGACAAGTTCGATAACAATTCCAATCGAAATGTCGCATAAAGTCGAAGTATACTGGTGTAGGGTAATCTTTGCAGGAAAATCGTAGCGTCTCAAACTAGGGGCTATCATTTTTCTGGAGGACTCTTATTTCCAAACGATCCATGAGATATAGAAATGTTTCATCGTTCCCCGAGAAATGCTCAGCGAGCTAATATACACGGGTCTCTTTCTGAATGCTATCGTACACAATTCGTCCACACGTTTCTAACATTAGTCAGCGTTTTAGAGGTATGAGACGAAGCCAAAGACTTCACAACCAGTGATGTCCAAGCAACATTCTCTTCCATGCATCCTCTTTTATTTAGCCATATGTTATAAAACGAACAAGAAAAAAGAGAGGAAACAATCTTATGTGTTCGTAAGCATTCGAACGTGCATAGTTAGTTGGAAGAATGCACTGGACAGATGTGGTGTTCACCTTCACGTTTAACATCACTGTAAGACATCGACCAAATTGATGGCAACAAGTCGCATACACTACATTGCAGATAAAACGAATAAAAGAATTTGTTATATAGCTTAGGAAGCCTGACGATGCTACCTTTTATGAGTTCAAGTGGATGAAGGCTAAAATCCACCAACTAGTCATGAAGACGGAAGCTAGTGGGCGAAATCCCTGTGGATCTTCCAGCGACTCAGCAATGGAATCTTTGGCGAAGACCGTATTTCACAACCACAGACACGATGTGCTGTACACAAATCCTGAAAATGAAAGCTTTACATAAACAGAACTAGCATGCTTTTTCTGTACTTAACACACTCAACTGCTGAAAACCTCCTGGAACACACTCGTTTAGAGAAGCCACCCGAATTGAAACCGAAGATGTATGACTAAGCCACCATGCTAACCGTTGTAGGATTACCGAATTTCTATTCTCACAAGTTTTTATATGGTAACGAAACTACTTGACAACATTTCCATAACCATTTAAACAAACCAGAGTCTTTTAAGAGCAGAAGGACATCTGTGCAGCCGACCAGTTCGACATTTTAATTGTCGACTGTTTTAGTTGTCATCCGACAATTGAATTCGACCTTTGTCAGAGGCAGACGACTTTGCAAACGAATTTTATTTTATACAAAGTTATCACCAGACATTTTTTACTGTCAATTTGACCTTTCCACGCCTTGAGGGAAGTGAAATCGTCGAAACGTTAGCCAGTACTGAATAAATCCTATTTTAACAACTCTTTCCTGCTCCAGGAAAAAGTTCTGACCACCACCACTTTCAGTTTTCATTCAAATATTGGCGGTTCTCAAGCAAATGGAGTCTCAGTCTTTCATTTCTAATCACTCTCTTGTAAGTCCCGTCTTGAAATCACATCACAGACTCACCGGTGTTCGAACTCTGGTCATCGCAGCGTCAACGGCGACGCTTTGCTATCTGCCACAGGGAACCGTGTATTCCGCGTTTTCGATGATGATGTCCACTTGACAGTCTCCCCAGCTTTATTTTTTAGTAAAAACCATCACATCATAAAAGCATGGACTAGGCTTATCGCTGAGAAATCTCGTGACCCTGTCCATGTTATGGTAAAAGCTGTTGTAAGGATTCAGTTGTGGAAGTCGTGAACTCTGCCAGAATTGATTTCCTGATGACTGTTACGAATTGGCCTAGAGAAACACTATAGCTCACCATGAAGTGCAGAACCACCAGTGGTCGATCGCCATCAGCACCTTCCAAGCAAAAATTGGTATTTAGTATAGCCTCATTTTACAAATTATTTTAAATTACAAAACCAGTAAACAAGCTGATGCATTAGACATGTAGGCCATCAACCAAAGCTTCAATTCTGTAAATGTACTGCTGTGTGCACATTATGTTGACTTGAAAAGGTGAAGTTTCCCGCCAATCAAAAATTATTTCCTACAGTATTAACCATTAGAGAAAACAAGTCACTTAGCAAATACGTTCTTTAGCTCGGATTCTTTTAATACCTTCAATTCGTTTTAATTAATAAAAAGGCGTGTGGCACAACTTCCACGAACGTCCGAAAGCACGAAAAGGACGAGATAGCGGTTAGGTCCACCAGGGTCAGATGAGTAGTCCGCAATGAGCATGACCGAGTGGATACCAAGAGTTAGAACTCGTGTTTGTATATGAAGGACACCATGTTTATTCGCTAATAAATCCAACTACTGCAAACTAACGCAGTTTGGAGTTTTATCAACGCTCGATGGCTTCGGGAGAATTTGTTGACGACGGGCAATAAACTGAAAGTTTAAGTTCCTCGTAAAACAGATAGAAATACACATACACCTCGCCAACTTTGAGCAACCTATATAGCAGTTTTAACATAGCAAGAGCTCTCTGTTTAGTCT